TTGTTTTTTCCCTGTTCTATTATTTTTGTCATAAACGTAATGTTTAAGTCCCATCAAATTAGATATTGGTGTTTTGCCTCTGGTATATTTAATTGAGGATACTTCTAATGTAGAATGCATTTCCATAAGCTTCGAGCTACGATAACATTTTGCTCATTTGCTTTATGGAATTTAGTTTCTGTATTTGGCTTCCTCTGAATGGACTTTCATTGCATGATTGGTTTCATGATAATGTATTTGGTTCCTGAGAGTTATTGCAATGGACATGGATACTGGAAGATAACTGAATACATTGCTTTTTTTTTTTCATGCAGAATCATAATATATACATAATTATCTGTCAAAATATTGTGGAATTATTAGTTTTAGCACATATTTTAGAACTTTGTTGCTGCTATGTAATATGGAAAAACATGAGAATGCCTTGAAAATCTGTACTGTATAAATTTGACTTCCCACTACTGATGCTTGATTATCATTCTAGGATCGACCTAAAGAACTATGAGAGCCACTCCAGCGCTGCGCCAGATATGGCGTTTTGCGCTGGAGTAGCGATGAATTCTGCTCCAGTGCGGCGCTGGAACTTATCGCTAGAATGTTGCGCCACATCTGGCGCAACACTGTTCATCGACTCTACAATTATTTTATTTTTTTTATTTATTTATTTATTTTTTTTGTGTATTATTATTGATAAATTTTTGTATAATGTGTATTAGTAAATGTATTTTGTATGCTAAATAATTTGTGTAATGTATTTTTTATGTTAAAAATTTTATGCTTTTTATTTATTGATGAATTATAATTTTATTTTGTAATTTTTTTAATATTAAAATGATACCATATGAATAAAAATTTAACACACTCATTGTATTATGTAATTTGTATCCTTTTGTTTGAACTTATGAAGCATCTCGTTTTGTTATACATAATGGGTAATAAACATTTAGATAATATTACATATTCATATATAGCAAATTATGTTAAATAAAAATAAATAAAATATATTTTTATTATTTGAGTAATTAACATTTTATATAAAATTAAATATACATATATACCAATTTATTTGAAATAAAAAATGAATAAAAAAATAATATATTTAATGTAGAGTAAAATGTAGAGATAAGGGCTGGAGATGAATGTTCAACTCTACTCTAGAGTAGAGTAAAGTCCGCGCTAGAGTAGAGATAAGGGCTGGAGATGGCCTGAACATGCGAATCTAACTGTTATCTTTGTTCTTATCATTGTCAGTGCATTGGTTGGTCTCTTTTTCCCTGCTGTAACGGGGATTATGGCAGGTTCAAACCGGTCAGCCTCACTTAAGGACACCCAGCGGTCCATTCCTGTCGGGACTTTAGCTGCAACTTTAACAACTTCAGGTCTATATCTTGTTTCAGTGCTGTTTTTCGGAGCTCTTGCCACCAGGCAGAAACTTCTGACAGACAGGTATGTTATGTGAATTCAACTTTAAGGGCGTGCTTGCTTGGATACAAATATATCCACTTAAAACGAGTTTTTTTAGTTAATCGGAGTTAATTTTGAAAAGGTTGGTATGGTTAGTTGTTCGTGAGATTTTGAATTATATTAAAATAATATTTAAAAAAAAATAATTAAAATTGATTTGATGTAACAGTAGGAGAGAAATAACGTGAAGTGATGGTTAGTTAAAATTTTGCGAGTAGATGAATAGTGAATTAAAATTGATATGATGTGTAAGAATGATTCTTTGATATTATTTAATTATATTGATAATATGGAGAATAGTATAGTTGGTTAAAGTTGAGTTAGGTTTTGAGTATGGAGTGGAAAAATTTATAAATGAACACCCCCTAAGTAGTGCTTGTTACTTCATTTGGTGCAGCACATTACAACTTCAGGTCTATATCTAGTTACCATTCTGTTCATGTTTCTTTTTTTTCCTATTTCTTTAGATTCATCAATACGTTTAGTAACGTGTCTCACTCGGGCTTATTAACAGAGCTGCTTTGCAGGTTACTTACAGCTACTGTTGCCTGGCCTTTTCCATCAGTTATTTATATCGGTATCATTCTATCCACCTTAGGTGCAGCCCTACAGAGCCTGACTGGCGCCCCTCGTCTACTAGCGGCAATAGCCAATGATGACATCTTACCCGTTCTTATTTATTTTAAGGTGGCGGATGGGAGTGAGCCCCACATTGCTACTCTTTTCACGGCCTTCCTTTGTATAGGATGTGTTGTTATTGGCAACTTGGATCTTATTACCCCAACAGTAACAATGTTTTACCTTCTTTGCTATGGTGGCGTTAATTTATCTTCTTTCCTTTTGGATCTTCTCGATGCTCCCAGCTGGCGCCCTCGGTGGAAATTTCACCATTGGAGTATCTCCCTTGTTGGAGCATTAATCTGTATAGGTAACTCGATCCGCATTATATTTATGTCGAGGCCCATTTTTATGGAAATTTCACCATTTTTTCTTTTTTTCTTTTCTCATTTTTTTTTCCATTTTTAGTTAACCTGATATGGTTTATCTGGCAGTCATCATGTTCTTGATTTCTTGGACGTTCACCGTGGTTTCTCTTGCTCTGGCAACTCTCATATATTACTATGTTAGTATCAAAGGAAAAGCCGGGAATTGGGGAGATGGTTTCAAGAACGCCTACTTTCAACTTGCTCTTCGTAGTCTACGGTCTTTAGGAGGTTTGTTGTGTGCTTAACATTTTTTATCTCCAGTTCCATCCGTGGCAATTAATTCACAGTCCTTTTGTGCCCATAAAATGCTCTTAATTTCATTCACAACATACCACAAATAATATGTTTGGTAACCAAATAAGCTAGTTTATAGCTAGTTTATAGCTTATTGGTTAGCTTATAAGCTTTTTGTATTCAAATAAGCTTCGTTCGTTAAGACGAACTTATCTCATCAGCTTTTTTTGGTAGCTTTTCAAATAAGGTCGTTGAAATTTATTGCAGTTTGCTAATTTTACCAAAATACTTTTGTCATATAAGCTAGCTTTTCAGCTATAAGTCATAAGCTATAAACTCGACAAATCACTTATAAGCTAGTTTTACTAAATATAGCCTAAAGTATTAACCACCCACCCTTCTAGAATGAAAACATTATTTTTTGGATTAATTACAATAACGATGATGAAGTTTGAGGGAAAAAAAAAAACAATTTACTTCATAAATTACAAAAAAAATACCATTGGTATTTTGTTGTTTTCGGTCCAGCAAGCCAAGTGCACCCAAAAAACTGGTACCCGATCCCTCTCGTATTCTGCCGGCCATGGGGGAAGCTCCCAGAGAATGTCCCGTGCCACTGTTACGAATCGTGTATCGAATATCAGATTTTGTATCAAAACCGGATTAAAGAACCCGATTTAGACACTATGATTTGCTTGGAAACAAGCTTTTCTTAAGAAATATAATAATGATACAAAAGATGGTCTGAAAATGTCTAAAAAACGCATACAAATAAACCTACTAACTACCCAAATACACTTGAAATGAAAAGAAACTGAAATAAAAAACTGCTCCCGCCCAGGCCTTAGCGGCGCTAAGGTCCTTAGCGCCGCTAAGGGTCATTAGCGGCCGCTAATCATCTTAGCGTGAACCCTCCGTCCCCTTCATATCCGCAGCCTTAGCGGCGCTAAGGTCCTTAGCGCCGCTAATCCCTGAAAGTCCAGAATTTTTCTGCAGCTTCGTTTTAGCTCGACGAGCCCGGTTGTACGCGTTCTTCATCTGACGGCCCTCATCCGCATCATTCCCGTCTCCTTCAAGATTGTCCTTGTCCTCAAGGACAAAATCCGGAAATTGAGTTTGCATATCGTGTAAACTTTCCCAAGTCGATTCCTCTTCTGGAAGTTGGTCCCATTCGATCAAGACTTCCCAACGGAAGCGACCAGCTCTTTTTACCCTCCTATAATCCACTGCTCGTATTGGACATATGATCATAGTGCCTTCGGAGTTCACTGTCGGCAGCCTTGGTTGAGCTCCTTGATTTTTCCCCAAGCTTCTTTTTAGTTGAGAAACATGAAGCACCGGATGAATTTGAGCTTCGGCCGGTAGATCAAGTCGATAGGCAACTTCCCCCACGCGTTCCACAGTTTGGTATGGGCCATAGAAACGACTTCCCAGCTTGAATAGAGTCTTTTGAGAGATTGTGTGCTGGCGATAAGGTGTAAGCTTCAAGTAAACCCAATCGCCCGGTTCGAATCGTTCCTCTCTTCTTCCTTTATCATAGTACTCCTTCATTCGATTGATTGACCCGTACAAGTTTTCTTTGAGCTCCCGAATCATAAGATCTCGTTCCATGAGCTCACGATCCACCTCATCATTCGGTGATTTTCCCATCGGATAACTCAACAGTAGGGGTGCCTTCCGTCCATAAACCAACTCGAAAGGGGTGAATTTGGTTGATGCATGGTATGTTGTATTATACCAAAATCCGGCCCATGGTATAAATCCTTCCCATCTTCTCAGAAATTCATGAACATAGCATCGGAGATATTGTTCGAGAATGCGATTGGTTACCTCAGTTTGCCCGTCCGTTTGAGGATGATATGCTGAGCTCATAGCCAACTCGGTACCCTGCATTTTGAGAAACTCCTTCCAAAAACTACTCATGAATATTCGATCCCTATCCGATACAATGGACTGGGGCATCCCATGCAACTTCATCACATACTCAATAAATAACTTAGCTATGGATTTAGCCGTATACGGATGAGTAATAGGAATGAAATGTGCATACTTGGTAAGACGGTCCACGACCACCATGATCCCGTTGAACCCATTGGACATTGGAAGTCCTTCGATGAAGTCCATTGTTGTGTCCTCCCAGATTCTTTCGGGTATCGGTAAAGGTTGTAAGAGCCCTCCCGGTTTTCTGGAATCTGACTTCACCCTTTGGCAAACGTCACACGTTGTTACGAACTCCCGAACGTCATTCTTTGCCCCTGGCCAATAAAAGGTATTGGATAGCCTTGCCCACGTACGATACACTCCCGAGTGTCCCCCAATCTTGGCTTCATGGAAATATTGTACCAGCTCATGTCTCAAGTGATCGGTTTCCGGTACATACACCAGACCTTTGTATAGTAACAAGCCGCCATAAACATCATAATCTTGGACCTCCTCCTCTTGAGCTTCCATTTTCCTACGAACCTCATTACAAAAGGCATCTTGAGCATTTGCCTCTCGTAGTTGATCCCATATAGCCCATGTTGGCCCCGAGATGGCTTGAAGTTCCGCCACGTCCGTCCGACAAGATAATGCATCCGCCACTGCGTTTTGTTGACCTGGCCTATAACAAATCTCAAAGTCGAACCCCATGAGTTTTGACACAAATTTTTGTTGCTCCGGTGTCACTATTCGTTGCTCCAACAAATGCTTTAGAGGTTGTTGGTCCGTCACAATTCGAAAATGTCGACCCAAAAGATAAGGCCTCCAAACCCGGACCGCTTCTACCACAGCCAGCAACTCTTTCACGTAGACCGACCATCCCACTCGTACACCCCCCAAGGCTTTACTCATATAAGCAATGGGTTGATCTTCTTGCGTAAGAACGGCTCCAATTCCCACATCACTAGCGTCCGTATGCACTTCAAACATCACCTCAAAGTTAGGCATAGCTAAAACCGGGGTCGTTGACAAAGCCCCCTTGAGTTTTCCGAATGCCTCCTCACTACTAGCCGACCATTTGAACCCTCCTTTTTTCGTCATCTCTGTCAATGGCTTAGCAATCGATCCAAAGTCTTTGACAAATTTTCGATAATATCCGGTCAGCCCCAAAAACCCCCGAAGTTCCTTCAAATTCTTCGGTTTAGGCCAATCAAGCATCGCCTCAATTTTCTTGGAATCCACTTTAACTCCTTCAAAAGATATGATGTGGCCCAAATACTCCACCGATTCTTGGCCAAAAGAACACTTCGAAGACTTTATCTGAAAATCATTCTCCAAATATTCATAGTGACCTTGATGAGTCCGGAATGCCGTCTTGTGAATGTCCTCTTCTGCCACCCGTATTTGATGGTAACCCGCTCGCAAATCCAATTTGGAAAAATAACGGGATCCCGCCAACTCGTCCAACATGTCATCAATGCTTGGGATTGGGAAACGATCCTTTATGGTAGCTGCATTGAGAGCCCGGTAATCCGTACAAAATCTCCACGTCCCATCCTTTTTCTTGGCGAGAAGTACCGGTGAAGAAAAAGGACTCGTACTATGCCGGATTAATCCGGACTCAAGCATTTCACGAACTTGCTTCTCAATCTCGGTTTTCTGAAAATGGGCATACCTATAAGGATGTACATGTATAACTTTGGTTTCATCCAACAAGGGAATGCGATGATCGAACTCTCTTCGTGGTGGTAGATTTTTTGGATCAGCTTTCACTTCTTCAAATTGTTGAAGCAACTCGTCAATCTCCTTTTGCTGAAAGTGTTCCTCATCAGCACCCTTCAATTTATCGACTCTAATGGCAAAGATTTGACTACCTTGCCTCCACAATTTGTCCAAACTTTGAGCACTCACCTCCTTCGTTCCCTCCTTTCCTCCGGTTGATAATTTAACCATGCCATCACCCCAACGAAATTCCATTGTTCCCACTCTATAATCCGTAGTA